TTTTGCTTTCAGAGGAACCTTAATACTGAATTTATATATACTATTTATGAGTAGGGTCTTCTGGCTTTTACCTCTAAATTTTTTGGTGAAGGTAACATAGATTGGATCTTACAAGAAAATAATGATCCAAAGTATCAATCAAAAATTGCAAGAAAGAAAATGACATTGAGGTACTTTCTTGGCAATCAATGTCTCCAGACCAAAACCCTATAGAAAACGTTTGGAAGTTAATGAAAATTAATATACAAAAAAAAAAATTTGATCAATTAGAGGGTTAAAGAGGAACTTACAAAAGAATGGAACTGATTATCACCTATACTTACCGCGAATTGGTAGTTAGCATGAAAAGGCGTACAGCTGCACTTATAGAATCAGATGGTGACTACATAATGTATTAATTTTAGTTAGTTGGTTTTGTATTTTTTAAATAAAAAAAAATTTTTGAATTTACTTACTTGTAGCCGGAGTTAAAGGCGGTCAGATACTTATGACTGCTATTGTATAATTTGATTTTTTTCAAATCTAATAATTTTTCTAAAAATCAATTTGTAAAATTACATACTGAATCTTAGCTACTTTAAGTATTTGTAATACTCAAACACTTACTTATTTGCAATTCATTATAATACAATAATAATTTATTTTTATATAGGTGTTACATTAAAAGCATTTGAGAAAAATATAAAATAAACCTCTAATCATGTAATAATAAAATTAAATGTAATAAGAGTAATATAAAAATATTGTCAGAATGAATTAAACCTTCTCTATCTGTTAGGTTTGAAAAGACTTCTATTTAGAATTCTTTAATTTTAGATCATTGCTGCTGTTGAGTTCTTATGTTAAGTAAAGAAAAGACAAATAGAATGGTTGAATTTATCATAAGGATATTAAAAGTTAGAAGATAATATAAATTGTTTATATTTATTTAGATTTCATAATATTTTTTATTTGATATAATAGTTTTTAGAATTAAAATAAATATGATGAACTTTTGGAATTGCTAATAATGATTTTGAAGATCTATAATTGTAAAAATAGTGAGATGCTTAAACAATCACTTTTTATACTCTATCAATGGTAAATTTTAGCCAATTAGTGTAGCTTTATGAAAGAAAAAGATGGTTTGAACCTCTATTGAGTTAGGTGCTTGAGGTTTGAGAACATTCTAAATGTAATAAATGTGAAATAGTAATGGATAGGAATATTAATGATACTCAGAAAATTTTTCTTTGGATTTGCTATTTGTATATAGTGAATTTCACTATATATATACTAATTGATTGTTTTATATATAATAAATGACTATAGTTGACTATTTATATCTAATGATCTATTGATTTGAATAATATTAATAATATTTTAAAACGTAATTATTATTATAATTGCTTTTTATTTGATTTTAATAATTAAGCTCTTTAAATTTATAGATTTATAATAAATTCAATTGATATTTTAAGTCAAAGAATTTTTATAAAACATTTTATAATCCTTTATTAAGTTCATTTGTAAAACTATTTGCTAATTTGACTATAATGAATCCAAAAATAATATATACTGTATATAATTTTATTTCAAAAATTTCTTGAAGCTAGGTTTTTTACGTTTTCAAAATTGAACAATACATTAACTTTGGATCTTATCTCTCAAGTAATAGCATAAGAAAATTAGTCAATCTCAGTATTCTGTCTATTATAACTTTCTTTAAATGTCCCAAGCATAAATACATTAATACATTTATAAAGTTATTGTCTACTTTTTTTATTGTATCTTCGCAATATAATGTCGGTAACTATTTACAATTTCCTTCGGATCCTTTAAATTTATCGATATTTCCTCCGTTCTGTCCCACATTTTAAAATTGTATAAATAGATCCCGAATTCATGGTATGTTTATTATTTTTTTTTCGAAAGATCATTCCTATGTCCATATATGTCAAATAATGAAAACTTGAGATATTCTCATTAAAATGGTGTCATACGTATAGTACAGGAATTTGATTCCAATAAGTATTTATTATAATCATTCCTTGTTATTTGAAATCTAATTATTAATAAATTGCATTATGAACATTCACGATTTTTTATATGAATTTATTATAATAAATTACCATCAATTTTAAAATGTGACTAGAATAACCATAGAACGGAATATATCAATACTATTTTATGGATTCTTCAAGGTTACGAGTTATTATATCTAATTGACAAGTTTGTTCAAATGAAGTAATATGTCTAATAACAGCCTTCTTATTTGGTTCTTGTAATTCACCAGCTATTTAAAAATTAAATCAAAATTGGAATAGAATTAAAAAAAAAAATGAAATTAGAATTAAAAAATAATTTTTTTGACTTACCCAAAAATAATTCGTCCAATACATAATATGCCTTATCAAAATTATAAATTATGTCCAATTCACATACATTCCCAAAAAATTCATCAAGTACTTGAACATATCGATGAATTGCTTCTAGAATGTAAAGCTCATTTTCATTCCAGTCTATGCCTGCTGCAAAATAAAGACTAGCATATCTCTTATATATCACCTATGTTAAGAATCAGAAAGGGAATTAGGATGATATAAAAATGATAATTACACTTAATTTCGAATACCTTATGTTCACCATATTCCAAAACATTACACATTGAACGTTTACGACCCAATATTACTGTCGTTAAGTCTGTTGTGAGTGTTGTCTTTTCTTTGTCAGTAAAATACTGGAACCATTTCTTCAAACGCATTTTTCCATGTCGGCTAAAAATAAATAGATACAAAATCTGTTCATATGCATACAAGGAAAAAAAATATATATATACATTTAAGAAAGTTATAAGGGAATAAAGTTTGGAAAAATAATTCACTAACCATGTTTATTAAGTAAAAACGGTTTCAATATTCTCTCACCAAGAGCAAGGTGGATAGTATTTCATATTTTAGTTTTAGTTTGTATTTTTTAAATATTTAAAGATCACCTTGACGGTTACACGACAGGATACATCTTATCAAAGAAAAAATTTCAGAGTATGAAATTACTATAATAGAGAAGAAACTCATTGAAGTGAATCAGAATTCATTGAATGTGAATTAAATAAAAATTATATTTATCATACCCCAATTGATATTCATTTTTTTTTTCGAATGTTATGGCTTTTCGAATTTTTACAAATAAATTTGTTAGAATAGATTCCCACATACGGATCAGAAACTTTAGTTCTGCAAGAGAAGACACTGATAAGTTGAACGCTGCTACAAAATATTGTAGTGATCTTGTAAAGTAAAATAATCTTTCTTTTTTTCGAGAATATTACACATTAAAATTACATTGAATAAAATAAAATTTCTCTTTAGGAAACATGATCGGGAAAATTTTATAATTTCAGTATTTTATCCAAAACATCTAAATAATGTATTCTTGGCAATAAGAGCATTTGATATTGAACTAGCAATGATACGTTATTCAGTGAGCAATTCTCAAATTGGTAGAATGCGTATGCAATTTTGGCGAGATGCGATTGATAATACTTTTCAGGTATATTTGATGTTTTCATTTTTCATTCCTCATTATGAATAAGTCATTACTTTAAATGATATAAAAATCTTTTAGGGAAGACCACCTCAGCAACCAATTGCTCGAATGTTACACAGTTCCTTGGAGACATGTCAATTATCTCCATTGTTTTTTAAAAGGATAATTGATGAAAGGGTGAGTTAAAATCTCAAAAACTTACAAGGAATGTATATATAGATTTATATTTATATTTATATTAGAATATTCTTTTATAGGAAGCAAGCTTGAATGATCCACCATATATTACCACCAAAGATTTGGAATCATATGGTGAGAATACCGCGTCATGCCTTCTGTACTTACATCTTGAGTCTTTGGGAATCAAAGGTATGCAAGCAGATCATGCTGCAAGCCATGTTGGAAAGGCTATTGGGATAATTAAAATTCTAAGAGGATTTTCATATTCTGTTGGAAAAAGGAGGATTTCATTACCCTCTGAAATTACTGCAAAGGTGTGATTAAAATCGCAATTATTTTCAACGAGAAACATTTTCTTGATAATGAATATTTAAATATTCAATTTACATGGTAGTATAATATTTCTCAAGAAGAAATCTTTCGTTCAGGACCTGTAAAAGGATTAGAAGATGCCATATTTGAAGTTGCCACATTGGCCAATGATCATTTGCTCACAGCCAGGACATTTTTGCCGAATATTCCAAATAAAGCCTTGCCTGCTTTATTATTGGCAGTAATAAGTTTATGTTTTTTGTTCCAATAATGGTTCCTTTTTGTTTTTGACTTTTCATTACGCTATTCAAATTATTTTAATGAACTTTTTTTTTTTTTTGTTAAACATAGGTACCATGCGATTCTTTTCTTAAACGATTAGAAAAATATAATTTCAACATATTTGAGCCAAAATTGACTATAAGTGATTGGAAATTACCATTTAATTTATGGTATAATTTTAAGAAGGGAACTTTTTGATTAATTATACATTTCAAATCTAATTAATAAACCTAAGAAAAATAAAACTTAATGAAATAAAGAATCACATTTTATATCAAATTGATTTTTTATATTACCATTCATTTTCTTCCTCGAATGGCAAACACAAAAGAAATAATGCATTAGTCAATAATTTATTTCTTTTGATTTCTAAATAAATACAATAACTAGCAACCAATCAGTAAAAAAAACTTTTTAGGTGCCAACCTCTAGAAATGTATCATTAGTATCGATTTGGTTTTACCACATTTGCGGTGACAGTTTTATCATCATTAATTACATTTTATTGTACATACATAACAAAATAAATTGTCGTTGTTATAAAAGATAAAACACATGCAAATCATTATTAAGTTAAGATTTGGCAGCGATAGCAAAGTCTTTAGCCAATTCCTTATTACGTAAAATAGTTCCGCCATCTAGTTTAATAACCGAACCTGTTAACCATGCTCCAGCACGAGATGCAAGATATAGTGCTGTTCCAGCTATATCAGCTTCATCGCCAAGACGTCCTGTAAAATAAAACCGAAAAGAATCAATCAAAATACCCTTTTAGAAAGTCACCATGTCAAAGACAAAAGTATAAATTAACCTTGCGGAACTTCTGATATGCTAAGTTTTTGATCTTGATGTGAAGTCATTGGTGTAAGAATTACTCCTGGTGCCATTACATTTACATTAACGCCACGTGGACTTTCAAACAAATACATGTTAAGATTTTTCTTTCCAATAAAAAAAAAAAACTATATCAAAGACAATTTTTCTTACGTGAGATAAACAGCCAAATTCATCGCGAGAGAGTGTACCGCAGCTTTTGTACAGTTATATGCCAAAGATATATTATAAAATTTACCAACAATACCTTTAAGATCCCCTTCACTCAAGCCAGAGATACTACCCATAACAATGACTCTAGACGGATCTTCTGGTGCATGACTTGCTTTCTCAAGTAAAGGCAAACAACTAAATACAAATTCTTTTTAATTACGAACTAATTAATGAAATTGTCCACATGAATACTTACGCCATAGTCATATGATAAACACTTGCAACATTTAATTTATGAGATTTATCCCAAATATCTTCTGTAATTTTTGTTAAAGGAGCTCCAAATGCAATACCAGCATTATTTATTAAGATATCTAATTTACCGTTTTCTCTTCTGTTAATCTCATTGGATATTTTTTCACATTCTTCCTTTATTGAAACATCAGCTTTTATTGGAATACATTCTGATCCTCCTAAACTATTCAATTCAGCAGCGGCTTTTTATTATTATTTTTATTTATAAATAAATTTTTATTACGGTAATGATTTTTTTAATTTCATTAATTTTATTGGAAATTTTTAATTAATATTACCTTCTTCAAGATTTCTTTGTTTTCTAGAGGCAATATAAACTTTTGCTCCATTCATAATAAAAGCTTTTGAAATCATTTTACCAAGTCCTGTACCTCCACCTGTTATTAATGATACTTTTCCTTTAAGTGAAAATAAATTTTTTGCTAATAACTTTTCTGCCATTATTTAAATAATATGCTTTTGTAGTGAATTTTGAACAGTTTCTTTTGTTTTCGGTTTTACCACCAAAATTTCACCCGTGGTTAATTTCATCTCCCACGTGACTATATAAAGAAATTCGTTACCAATGGTAATTTGGTAATTACCAATTACCATGTAAATATTAGATAACTGTGTAAAAATTATTTTTATTATATAATTCAAATTTATAGTTAAAAATTTTTCTAATATAATCAGAATATATTATTAATATATCTATTTTTTTATTTTAGATATGAGATATAACATTTATAAATTATACTGATTTATCATTAAATAATTTATCATAATATCATAAATATTTATTAATATTTAATAATATAATAAAAATAAAAAATATTTCTATTATTTTTTTTAAAAATAAGTAAAATTTTCAATTGAACAAATGCTATTAATAATCTTGATTAATAAATTTTATAAATAATTTGTATTATTTAAAAATTTAAAATTAATGATTTATTATTAAATGATAATTTAAATATACAATATCTAAATTTAGTATTATAATACTATAATATTTAATTATAATGTTATTTTAATAATATTTAATAAATAAGTATTTTATTTTTATTTTTTATTTTAATATTATATAGTAAGATAATATTTATTATTTTTAATTTTCTAAATTTTTTAAAGATTTAATAAAGTAATTAATTAAAAATTTAATTTATATTTTAAATAATTATTTATAAAGTTTAAAAAGATTTTTAATCATATAATTTTAATATAAGTGTTTAAAAAGTTATAATATTTTAAAATTATTGAAAAACTAAATATATTTTAATTTTATTATGCAATTTTTAATATAATAATATGAAAATTAATAAAAATAAGTTAAATTACATTAAAAAATAGATAATGATTATTTTTTATAAAATACATTAAAAAAAAAAACTAATAAAATTTAATTATTCTTTAAACTATAGGCAAATTTATCTGCTTATTTACTATAAATTTCTTTCTGATATACTTTTATGAAAAATCAATATTTTTAAATAATTTTATAAATATATATAATATTATAGTAAACTTTTATTTTTTAATTATATAATAAATAATTTAAGGCTTAAAAATTTGTAATTTTAAAAAATTTTTATATTAAAATTTTTATTTTATTATTTTTTAAAAATGCGTAATATAATTTTATTTAATAATATTCTAATTTCATAAAAAAAATACTAAAAGGTACAAGAAAAAAATAAAGTTACTATTTAAAATATCTTTATAAGTAAAAAGCTTATTAGTTTCAAACTAATCGATTATTTCATTATACTATAAAAAAAATTATTAAGAGAGCTTTTATTAATATATAATAATTTAACTATTATTATATCCTTCTTTTTTACCTAATGATTAACATATATTTTTAAATTTAATTTTAATATAAAAATAAGTAATCTTTATTAATATTAAATTAAAAAAAAGCTAATAAAAAATTACAACTTTTGATAAGTTTTTATCAGAAGTATTCATATTATTAAATTCTATCAATTATTTAACTTTTAGGCTAAATATTTATTACTTCAGATTATAGCTAATAGTTTACATAATATAAGATTCAAATTATACAATTGTAAAGTTTAAAAAATTCTGCTAGAATCAGCAGATTATATAAGATCAAGGTTCTTTAAAGAATGTATTAATTTAGAAAGATAATTAGATAGTTATCATAAGTAATTTATTTATATTTAAAATTATTATTGATCTTTAGTTGTCAATTCAGATATCTTCTGATACCTACTTTTATAAGCAAAAATGAAAAAAAAAAAATGAAAAAAATTGTCAAAAGTAGCAAAAAAATATTTTAAAAATATATCACTATTTAGATTAAAAACTGATTATTTTTTGAATAAGAGTATGAAGAATAAACAAAAAAAGAAGTTTGAAAAAAAAGTTTTATATTTTATTTATAGGCTAAGCTATAACTACCTTAAATATATATATTTTTTTATATAAAAATTCTTAGTTAGGGGATTACTGAAAAAAATTATTATATTAATTAAAAAATTTTATTATTAACTTTTGACAATCTTATTAATATTTATTTTAACCATAATAATAAAATATTATAAAAATTTATTATGAAAAATAATTTTAATTATTACAATTTTTATAATTTACTAAGAAATTTTATGATTTTTATTAGTAGTAAAGTGATTCAATTAATTTATAAACATATGAATTTTAAGAAAATTTTTGAAAAATTATTATAATAAATATTTTAAAACTTAATTTTAAAATTGAATTATTTAAAAAAATTTTTTAATAAACTTAAATTTTTTAAGAAAGTTGATAAAATATATACTAAATTAATAATTTATATTTTATTAAAAAATTAATGCTTTTTTTTTATGTTTACAAGTAAATTTGTCTATTTTACAATTTAAGGGATAATTTTTTTTATAATTTAAAAATTATATTATATAGTAATTATAAAATTCAAAGCAAAATATTATATTATAAATATTTAAAATTGTAAGCATTAAATTAATTAAAATATTTATTAATGATTGACATTTAATATTTTTTATTAAATAAACTAAAAATTTATTAAATAATAAATTTAATATTTACTATTTTAAAAAATAAATTAATTTCAAAATTAGGTTTTTTTACTAATATTTTATTTTTATTAAATATACAGTAGGGTATCAAAAGTCACTAAACATTTACAATATCAATCATTTTTTGAAAAATTATATCAAATTTTTAAATTGAGATAACTTATAAACTATTGCATCAATTTGAATAAAATTTTTTATATTAATCATTTAAATATATTTTTTATAATTTTATTTTTAATATTTTGTATAATTACTTTTATTTTCAATAATAATAGCAATACAATATAATATATACTATCAACAAGATTTTATATATACTTTCATCAAGTTTTAGCTATTTGTTTTGCAAAATCTACTATAAATCATCTTTATTTATTGGTAATAGTTTATGTTTTCTGATTTTTCTATCCAATTCATTCTATAAATTTTCTATAGAATTTAAATCTAGACTCTGTATAAGCTATAATAAGCTTATAAACTTATTTTCTACTTTATATTTTTTTTACTGCTTTTGCTTTTGTGAATAGGAGTATTATCTTCTTGAAAATATAATTATTTTTATTTTCTAAACTATTTATAAATGGTAATAAATAGTTATTTAACACATCTATATATATATTTGCTATTATTCTACCTTTTAATCTGATCAATAGACCTAATTTATTCTTTGTAAAATAATCCCAAATTATAACACTTTATTAACCTGATTTAAATATAGAAATAAGACATTTTGGATCATATTTTTTTTGAGAATTTCTTCAAACATACCTTTTTTCATCTTCTTTATATACTTTAAATTGAGATTCATTATTTTAAATAATATTTTCCTGTTCATTTTCCAATTTTTTCTATTTTTGATCTATATTAATCTTTTTATTTTATTAGCTGCATTTACAAAAATATTTTTTATTCTAATTCTTCCAAAAATTTCATTATTATGAAGATATTTTTTAAGAGTAATTTGGCTTATATTTGTTAAAGTAAAAGTAATAAAATTTTTACATAATGCATTAATATTAGTTCTATTATTTTTATTAAGAATTTGTATTAAATGATAATTATCCCTTTCAGTTAAAATAGGTGGTCTACCACTTTAAGAAAAAATCATTTTTATATATAAAAATAATATTATAATCAGTACTTTTTGAATAATTTAGTACTTCACTAATTTTTCTTTTATTAAAACTACACTTCAAGTACCTATAATTTTATCATATTAAAAATCAGAAAATTCTTTATATTGAATAATCATTTTTTTTTATAATCAAATCAATAAAATGTTATAGAAAAAACTTGATTTAAAATTTTGATATAAAATTGAAAAAATGATTAATATTGTATATAATTAGTAACTCACTATACTAAGACGACTTCAATGAATATAAATACAATTAATCTAAAATTTTAGAAAATTATATATTTTTAATACATTTAACAAGTTTACTTAGAACAAAAATATGTATTACAGCTAATAATTTCAATGTTTTATTATAACTGAAATCTTGTATTAAAATTTGAAAATGCTGTATTAAATATATAATAAATATTTTATTTCTAATTAAATATTTATAAAAACTTTAAAATCTATATAAAACATTATGACAAATAACTTTGCTTATTCAATTAAAATTGATTAAATTAATAAAAAAAATTTTAATTTGAGGTCAAAATTTCCATTAATTTTTTAATTTTTAAGTGCCTGATGACTTTTGATACCCTACTATATATGTAAAGATCAAAGGATTAAAATAAAATTATAGTTATTAATGATATAAGTATTTAATGTAAAAATAAAAGAAATTACTAAAAAATAAAATTTTTGGTTATGATTTTTTAATTAGTAAAATTAATTTTAATACAAAAAAAAAATTTTTTTTTGAAATTTTCTTTTTATTAAAAAATACCTATTTTAAAAATTTGATTATTAAGTATAATTATTACTTTTTTTTTTTTTTAATAAATAATTGATCTGATCAAAATTTAATTCTTTTATATTAATTAATTAATTTTCTAATCTTTACTATTTTTAGATTTATAAATTAGTATAAAAGAATTTTTTTTATGGCTTAACAACACATGTTACTATATATTTACAGATAAAAAAGATATTATATTTGGATTTCTATAATCATATATTAAATAATAATTATCAATAAAATTAAACATCAGAAAAATCTATTATATATAATCAATTCAGAAGTAATATTATATGAAGATACGTTTATAAATTTATTTTAGTTTTATATAAAGAAGTTAATAACATTACCAATTTGGCCGGCTAAAAAAAAAATCTTCCATTTTGGCAATTTGGCCACGGCCAATGGCCCTCGGTCCGCGGCCAAATGCAATTACTGCCTTATAAGTAATTATGCTGCCTTGAAATGCCCGAAAAAAACAAGTTAAAATGACGAAACCAATGATGAAATACGTAAAACAAAACCCGAAATTAGTTAAACCAATGAAAATTAGTTTTGAGCGTCACTAAATATGACGATTTTTCTATAAAACGGGATCACATTTTCTTTAAATTAATTAATGAAACGTGACTTGCCGATCTTGGATTTACAACGCCCAAAAAAGGTGAGAAATGGATCATTATTCGCGATTGGCCGAAGAGTAACGCGATAAACACGTGATATTTACGGGCGGAAAGCCCGAAAATCGAAATCATATTCGGGCGCCATTAAAAGAATTCAAGCCTAGCCGAATTCTCGAGATTGTCCAATATACGCGAAACTTACTCCTTATCTTGTTTTTAAAATAGATAAATTAAATCGGAATACCTGTGAAAAATTACCAAAAGCTCTACAGTTATTTAGAAGGAACTCAAATGTATTGATTGTATAATCATTCTTAATAAAGAATGGATTTGCGTCCCTTCACAAAGAATCAGGCTAATTTTATTTAAATGAAGTGCAGGAAAACAACGGAATTTGCATAAATTTTGAAACCTAAATCTGGAAATGACCATTTTCCTTTTCAACACACCAATTCATTATGACAGATTTTTTGTGTTTATTAAAATTAACATGTGGAAATTTTTTTTTGGAGAAAAGATAAAGTGTGATTGTTTAATAGGATGCTAGCATAATCAAATGTCTTTTTTAGTTTGTTCTCTACAATCTTTTTATCTTATATCTAAAGAAAAAAAGAAGAGAGAATTTAGTAAAAGGGGGAGATAAATAAACAATTATGTTGTTTCAGAACTAACACAATATTTGCTCACATTTTTTAATGATCGAATAATTAGTGCATAATTCAGGCCCAAAAAAAAACGGATGTTCCAACTAAGGATGTTACAAGTTTATTAAGTTTTATTGTCGTTTCAAGTCGGAACTTTAAAAAGCAAAATTTTTTTTAATTGCAATTATCCAAATCAGGAATTAAATATAAATAGTGTCATTTAAATATAGTTAAACCAAGTTTTGATTCGTCTTTAAAGTGCATTCATGCTGTTTTAATTTAAATATTGTACCAATTATAGGATTTAATCAATTTTGAAAAATATAAAAAGAATATAAATCTTTTTCGTAACAAACTCGCATTTCCTGTAACCTTGTAGAGGCACTCCTGTCTTATTAAATTCCTCTTTAGCCTATTTTAGCCTCTCGTCTTTCTCTTTTGTTTGAGATTATTTTTCCCCTACTTCATTCACTCATTGAACTTTATTCCTTTATCCTATCTAAATCGCGAAAACATTCTTTTCTAACGGGTCTTAGAAAAATATATATAACACAACCCTTTAACCCATCTCATTCACATATAATTTGAAACTTTGCCGGCAAAGTATATAAAAACAATTTTTTTCTTTGAAACTTTTTTGCTTCCCTTTAACAAACGACAAACCATAATAAAAAATGGGTAAACTCATTTGGAATCAATGGGCAAGATTGCTCGCTCTTACTGCTGGTACCTGTATGTATTCAATCATTCGTTTCGTTTCTTTTGAGGTATTACTTTTCCGCAAGTGGTAATTTTATTGACATGAACTCGTTTTCGTTTAAATATTATATAGTTGAGGTAATAGGAGGGATTTTCGGTGTCTTTTATCGTTATTCTATGTTCAACGCTGTCCTAAAGGATATTGACTTTTTGTTTAATCCTTTCAACGTTGTGGCAATTATCTGCATGTAAGTGTGAACTTTGCAATTCGTTTTTAGTTTTTAGCCACTTTTTCTTTCTTTTTCGTTTTTGGAATTGGAAATAACCTTATTCTTTTTTTTTTAGTGTTTTCGGGTTAATAGTACTGGCTATCGAATTACCTTTACAATTCCTTAAAAATACAATCATAACAACATCTTTCATTCCAAGAATAATTTTATATTTCATCATATCAGCAATTTCGGTATTTAACTATCAAAATGTAAATCCCGCACTGTATTTATTCATTGCCACGTTAATGTATGTTAGAGCCGCGATGAACGGTGAGAACAACAAGGTCAATAGTAATTTAAGATCGAGAGTGTAGAACGAAGGAGAGCAAAAAAAAAAAAAGAAACATTTTTTTTTTTAATTTTTTAACATAACAATTGTAAAAATGTAAAAAAAAACGAGCATTTTTGGGACTTGGGCGAGAATCACGTGAAACGGTTTACATAATGTAACCTTAAAAAAAAAAAAAAAAAGTGTAAATCTTTAATTTATATTGAATAATAATTTTTTTTTTTTTTTTTAAAGAAGATGATTATTTAATAATGATAATTAATAATAATAATAAAAAAACATACATACATACATTATAAAATTATTATTTGCATGATTTGCATGGACTTTTCCCCCTAAAAAAAAAAAAAATTTTTTTTTTTTTGTATTACTTTTTTATAACTGGATATTCACTTTACGAATAAAACGGGCTAATCCCGCCCTCCCCCATTGTGATCATTATTGATAGTTCCGACCGAAATTAGTATCCCGTGAAACTAATTTAGACGACTAATCATTTTGGCTGATGCTTGAAATCTGGATTATTATTTTTATGTAAGATTTGAAAGAATTTTTTTTTTCTTTATTTGTAAATTAAATTTTCACAAAGAAAAATTATTAGATTAAATGAAAGAAAGAAAGAAATCGAACACAAATCTATTTTGAACCTTTTTTTTTTAAAAAAGGATCACGAAAATTTTTTATGTATCCAATACCAAAAATTATTAAATGTACATTATTAAAATAAAAAAAAAAAAATTGATTAAATTAAAAAGTGAAAAAAAAAAAATTCTGTCCAATTATTATTAATTATCTTTTTTAATTAATTGCGTAAAAAAAACGTATATTTGGGGTGGTGAAAAGTCAAATGTGAAGAAAAAAAAAAAAATTAAAAAGAATAAAATTAAAAAGATTATGTAGATGTTTTATGAAAAGCTTACAAGTGTTATAGGTGGATTTAAATTAAGTCTATATAAATCTATATTTTCGTAGAGATTAAAATTCTAAAATATTAATGGTGCTTTTTTTCGAAAAATTTTCTCGTGTCGTATATTATTCCGTAAAAAAAAGATGGATCATTTCGTTGTTTGTGATTAACCTAATTGTGTTTTTGGTTTTTTTTTTTTCTTAAAAAAAAAAATTCCCTCAACTGTACAAAGGAAAAACAAAGGAATTCTTAAAGGAAAAAAAAAATTATACAAAAAAAAAAAATAAATGTTACTACTATTGATCAAAAATAAAACTAAAGGAAAAAAAAGCACTTGATATTAAAAGGAATGCAAAAAAAAGTGATAAAATTGATTTGAAATAGAAAAAATGTTCGTGCCTTTGATCATCTATGTGTATATAATATTACTACTTTCAACGATACTCAATACCGTTTACCCTTTTAATAAACCCACCACAAAATTTTATAAAATTGTCCGTTTGTTTTCTAAAAAAAAAACAATATATACAATGTAATGTATATATATATGATGCGTTGCGAAAATATATATATAACAATGACAACATCAACGGTTAATGTTGTTCTAAAAAAAAATTAAAAAAATATATAATATTACACCGCCTCTTTGCTAAGACATCATCTTTGCTAATCGAGGCGCAAAAAAAGTCGCTTTCGTCAAAAAAAAAAATAGAAACTTGCCACTAAAGCAAATTTTCAATTGTTCGATTCTACCGTTATTATAAAAAAAAATGTTCCGATTCGATTGTCCAAATAAAATTTTCATCAAAAAGAATATCATAATGCAAATCCTCCATTAAAAGATGCATCCAAATTATACAAAAATTCTTTATAATCATCGTTCTTAACTACTCAACAACCCATCCTTATACTCTAGACGAGTTGCGAGAAGTTCTTGGTCGGGAAACAGTACCTGAAGGTACTACTCCGGTCTCAATATTTGATGCTTGTGCTTGAACTTTGGGTGTAGACATTAATGGAAGTTTTTTTCTTGGTAGCTCGACGACTAAATATATTAGAAAAAAATTTTTAGATGAATTGAAATAATTTAAAAGAAATATATATATATATATTTTTAACTTACCAATACGCTTTCTGCGCACATTATCTGAACAGCCAGCTTCGCAGAACCATTGTTCCGAGCTTGATACTGTCTCATCGGTGATGTGGGAGGATGAGCATTTCTGGTGAAATGCTTTGGGGCACCCTTCACATCGGACGAGTACATTTCCTACAAATGATTCTTGCTTCTGACATACGGTACAGACTAAAACATTCAGAGAGCGAAATGATTAGTTTTGAATAATTTCAAATAACGTTCGAAATAAGTAAAGCATATTAACTTTAACTTACAGAGTTGCAAGACTGGACGGTCTCTATCTTCGACTGACTCGTTGACGAATCCGGTCAAGTCGAGCCTTGGAAGTTTACATGCGAACCCGTAGCCTTTGTAGTCACATCCGTGCTTACTATCGATTTAGGAAATAGATATAGGTATTATTAATATATAATTTCATTGAAAAGAATTCTTCATTATAAAGGTGAAATAAAGGAAAAGGAAATCCAGTTGAAACTTACTTGCATAAAGTTCGCTTGCCCCATGGGCCTGGTCTCCAGTTAACACCCTCAGTAGTGCCGCAGTATCTACACCAATCAATTCCTGACCTTGTTAAAGTCTGAAAAATTGTTGGAAAAAGGGTGGGACGAGGTGATGTAACTTCATGTCGTTCCATTTCTTGAGATTCTTCGGGTGTTAAGAGACTCTGTGGTGCTGGGCTTTCAACTGACACTGCTGTGGGGGAGTTCACCCTGCTTGATCGTTTTGAAGGAGGCTTGGATGATTTTGAGGATTGCTTACCACTATTTTTTTTAATAAGAAATTAAAAAAAAAAAAATTATAAATAAATTTAGTTTTTAAAAGTTTACGTGAAAAGAAAATAGAATGAATGATTCAAACATAGCGTACCGTTTTGCTGTTGATGCCTTTGATTTGTTCTTAGCCACACCTGACTTTGGTTTGGCAGATCCCTTTGATAAGGAACCTCTTGCTTTACCTTGGGACTTGGCAACTTTTCTCGTAGTACGAGATTTTTTATTAGTATTCGTTGGACGATATTCTTCATCGTCGTCTTCTTCAGAATCAGTGTCACTACTATAATGATATTCATCGGTAACGGTATCACTAATCTCATTAGTTTCATTAGCAGGTTCAATACTATTATCATGATCATTTGAATATGAGGAAGAGATGTCGGTGCAATCGCCATTGTCAACTCGAAGTTTTTTTTGTGATCGTTTATCACTGGATTCAGCATCGGAACTATCATCTTCGGATGATGATTCATAAGTCATCCTACGCTTGAGGCTATGGTCGCTAACGAGCTCGGGAGTCTCCAATGGTGGACTTGGCATCACATCCCCGAATTCAACATAATTTGTAATGACTGGTGTGGGCTTTTTAGTGACATTATGAGAAGACACGTTTGGCGAAGTTTCAATGAACCTAGGATCAATGGTTTTGGAAACTTCGTTGAAATTGCTCGAATCTGAACCAAAACTTGTTCCAGTATTAGAACAAATAAGAGTAGGATCGATTGTCCCATCAATGGTACCCTCAAAGGCGTTGCATGCCGAATTTAATGGGGATGTAACGGTAGACATTGTGGTAGGAGTTGAAAGTTCCAATTTAACCGGAGGAGGACTATACGAGTTAAAAACTTGAGATGACGAAATGACAGATTCGGACGCGTTCGTGGATGATGATGTCTCGGAAGATTTATTGTTAGATAAATCGAAATCATCGTAAATCATACTCCACAGTAAATTTTCGCCACTCATATAATCGGTTGGCGTTAAAGGAGGAGAAAATCTCTGACGAGGAGTCGCAATATCCGTGTCTGAAGAAGAATCACTATCACAATGAAGTAACTCTTCGGTATCTTCAATCATTGGATCAGAAAAGAAGACATCATTCAAGACGCTATTCTTTGAACAGGAGTTTCTGTCACAACTATCCTCATAACAAATTGTGGGTGATTGATGAAGTGAAAAATCAATCGGCAAATCATTCGGATTGGACAAATTAGTTGACATAGAATAATCTGAGATTGACTGAGATACATTTTGAGACATGGAATCCAACGGCATCACATTCAACGACTGAGTAGGAACGATATGAGACGGAGTAATCGAATGATTCGGGGTTGTCGCATGATGTTGTTGTTGTTGTTGTGACGTACTATTGAGTGTCACTTGTTGTGACATCGAACGTGGAACGACGCGGGACGCCTGTTGAACATTCTGCAGTTGCGGTTGCGGAGGTTGCGATGGTGATGATTGTTGTAACATTGGAGGAGCAGCGGGATTTCTATAGCTGTTCATCCCAACGTATTTGCTTTTACACTTGTTACATATACTTTGATAAATCAACGCGTCAGCCGATATTCCATTATTTATCAAAAGGTTCGTGCAATCATCACAGAATGTTGAAATCGCGGACATGTCAAACTGCGGATCCTGTTGAGCGGAGCCAGCTTGCTGCTGTGACATCTGAACATGTGACATGAATGGTTGTTGCATCGCTTGACTATGTTGTTGTTGCATTTGAGAGAAGTGCTGATGATGCATCGATTGGTGATACAACTGTTGAGGGAAATAGGTCGGGTAAGGTTGAACCGGCCCAAAATAATTTGTTTGCATGTTACCATAATCCATTGGAAGGAAATGAGGTATCGGCGTTAAAGTCGATGACATATCCTTGGAACTTTGTGAGTTTGAATTTGATAACAATTCTCCAAATCCGTATTGTGTCGGAACAATTATCTGAGGTGATTGCTGCTGAGCTTGTGAGTAAGCTACACCACCTTGCGTTGTTGTGATGGTGGGTCTCAACATGGGTAGAATTTGACGTAAAAAGGGAGGATCATTGCAATTCGTACTTGACGAATTACGTTGGTGATTAGATTTCTTAATATTAGATGTACTCGCCATCTTTATTTATATTGGTTTAATGTGTGTAAAGACTTGTCGTGATAGAAAAAAATATATATAAATTTTTTTTTTTTTAAAAAGTTTGTTGTTTATCAGTTGGTTATTGTAGAGAATTGAAAATAAACGAGACCTGAAAATAAAAAGCGGAATTTTGAAAAAAAAAAAAAAAAAAAAAAAAAAAAAATTTATTTGTTAGTTTTGTGACACAGATATTTATGTGGTCTAAATTTGAGACAAAGAATGGATTAAAAAATTATTTGCATTATCTATATATGGATTCGTCCTAGTGTTCAACGTAAAGTAACAATGTAGATGTTTGATGAACGAAAAAAAAATTTTTTATGAACAATTAAAACTTCAAAACAACAATAAGGAATTCAGAACATATTCGAATGAATAATAATAATAAACAAGGAACCTAAAATCGATTTGAATTGTGAAAAAAAAAAAAAAAAAAAAAAATATTATTTATCTAGACTAAAATAGAGGAGATGTTTTTATCAAAATCTGAAATGATAAAAAAAAAAAAAAATTTTTTTTTTTAAAAAAAAAAAAAAAAAAGAGGCTGTATGAATGATAAAGGAGGATGAATTGAGGCTGTGCGCAGTAAGATTAACCAATAAGGAAGATCACTATGAGGGTTACTGCGGATGGAATTGATTGGAAAGGAGTAATACAATAAAGAAAGGGATGTAAGAGGAAATAATAAGGAACAATATTAAGATGGGGAGAGAAAAAAACACGAGGGAGAAAAAAAAAAGGGTATTCGAACGCCAGATGTTACAGAATTGAAAATGGTGTCATCAAAGGGTGTGGTGAATATGGATGGACAATAGAGTTTAAAGACAAGGTCATTAAAAAAAATTTTTTTTTACGCCCAAAGAAATTGTTTTAGAGAAACAAGTAAAACAGAGAGAAAAAAAAAAAAAAAAAAGACAATGTGTAAAGTTCAAAAATGTTATATCATGAAATAAAATGATAAACAAAGCAATATTTTAAGATACAAGCAAATTCAAAGAAGCGTACACAAAGCAACAACAAAGGTGATGACAGATATTGGAAAGATACCTCTTGTAGAGATATGTTGAACGAAAGAATTTAATAATAATTTTAGAATACTTACTCTTTTAAATCTGCTTAAGAGACGACACCAAAGCAGGAGAAGGAATGAAGTTTTGAAAAAAATAGGGGGATGGGAATGGGTTTATAAAGCAAAAAAAAAAATTAGGACGGTAGTAATAAGTAAAGAGAATTTTTAAAAAAGATTAGATACAAAATAATTTATGACGTATATATATCGAATATATTAAGCAGTGTATATATTTTTAAAGTATATATATTATATTATAGTAGCAATATAAATAATTATAGTTGATCCCTCACTTATTTAAAAGGCTTTGTTCTTTTTTGGCACGTTATCCGGGACAAAAAAGCAAAATTTAAGTGAAGTGAAGGAACAAAAATGTGGGCGAGACTTATTTATAACAAAAAAATTTTCCAATAAATGAATAAATAAGTAACCAATAATAGAAATAATTGATATATATAATATAAATAAATTTAAAGGAAAAAAAATTTTTTTTTTATGGAAACAAAAAATTATCACCAGTTTAAAAAAAAAAAAAAAAAAAAAAAAAAAAGGCCGAACTCTTAGCTTTTAGACTAATTATAAAAATAATTCTATGTTTGAGGGTGTAAGATATTTTCTTTTGGAAAGAAAAAAAAAAAAAAAAAAGCTTAATAAAATAATTTAGAAGTTTTAAAGATGTTCACGGAAATTGTCTGGTTTGAGCCAGATGTGAAACAAAAAGGACATTACTCAATAATATAAATATAACATTTATTATTAGTTAATCATCAATATGTTGTAAATAAATAAATTTTTTAGATTACGAAAATATATTCAATAGTTTAACCAAATCAACTTGAAATCAACTATTAAAAGAAATTAATATGATATGCATTTAACATATAATATAAATAAATATATTTTAAATCGTGGCATGGTATTTAACACCACATATAATGTCACAAATGATAAAACTCAAATTATGCATTTTGCATGGGAACGAACAACAACAAGAATGGATGCATCAATGTTATGTGTTTGGGTACATGAAAGATTGGTTGCAGCATTCCATTATCCAGAGTAATAAACAAAGTTAAGTAAATCATTTAAATTGTGACCTTGTAAGATACCATTTCTTTACCAGGGAGACCGCTGATTGATGACTTTTTTATCGACCCAAATCTTTTCCTTCCCGATTTCGAATTTTGACCTTATGTCATCTCAAAATACGTCACACATTCAAACAGGGGCATTTCTAGACTTTTAGAAACCAACTTTTGTTTGCATATTTAAAGGTTCGAAAGTATCCAACTATATAAGACCATATTTAGGTTTATTACGAAAAATAACAATATCTACAGATATGGGAATAATTCCCATTTCTTTTCCCTTTTATGAAGTAATCGGCAAAGCGCCATGGCAATATGTTCAGGCTTGGACTCAAAAAAAAAAAAAATCATGCTCGCGTTGGGAACTTCACATATTTTAATGCTATTTTAATTTACTAAATGAGGATAATTTTGGTGGTAATTCACATTATTTTGCCACATTAGCCACACAGACATTTTTTTTAACGTTTATTTTTAGTGCCGGGGAAAAAAAAAAATGCAATAATGTGCATGGATGATGATGTATGCGCATTTATGTTGTTATCGGTGAAAAAAAACCGAGAACAAGAGAAAATTAATTCGTTGCGGGGCAATAAGATAAACTTTGTTTCAAACACCGAAACGAAACTCAACATAATTTACATTATTTGTAGAAAAATGATTTGTGAATTGTATGTATCCACATTCCCAAAGTTAGAATAACACTTGGTCAACCGGAATAAAAAAAAATAAACTTACAGAGCACAACATCCGAATTTTATTCGAATTTCCCCGCATTTTGTAATCCGTAAAATTTCTTTACGTTGATTAGTCGCTTTCTTGACCTCTTTAAGAAATGACGCACCCTTTATTATTTATTTTTTTTGGACTAAAAGGGGACATTGGTTTTAACGATATATTTGTATCATAACCTTTACAATGAATTGAAATATAACCTTTTTCTATTATAAAGACATAATGCATGCACATGATCCTTCCATTTAACCATTGGTATATCAGTTAATAAGCATGGATCAATCATTATTTAATCGGTTTCATAATTTTGGAAAGTCACTTTAGAGACAATGGTGTTATGTTAAAGGTTATAAAAAAAAATTTTTTTGAGAAACAAGGTTCAAAGATGTACATTTTTGGTGATAATTGAGATTCTTATTCCCCAAATATGATCAAAAACAATAAAAAAAAAAAAAATAAATAAAGGAAATACGGTTGCACCAAACACTCCTAATCCATTTCAACAAGCAAAATTTACAAACAAGCAACCGAAAAGAGATGAACGAATTACCTCATCAGAAATAATATATAAAGAAAATAAAGTTTTTTCGTGTAAGATTGTGTGGTAATTATAAATACCAAGGGTTACATGGATAGTAACAAACGCGTCTTATTATTTGTGACAAAAGGATTTCTTTTCAAAATACTAATCGACATTACCGTACATGATATTTTTCTCTTATAAACAAAACGCGGTATATGGAAATTAAAGGGACTTACTTGAAAAGGAAAAACAAAGAATATGATTTGCTTGCGTTAATGCGTTAAAATGGAAAATCACATGCATTAATAATGTATGATCTTCAAGTGACATTCCCCTTTTTGCCTCCTTTTTTTTCCCCTTGGTCATACTTTTATGGTGTCCAATGAGGCACCCTTGAGGATTTCCATTTAATGGTGATGCTATGCGTTGTTCGTTTGTTAACCAAGGGTGTCTTTCCAAATGTATGTAATAAGTTTTCTGGGGGATAATAGGTTGGAAGCTATTACTGGTAGGGTTCAAGTGAAACAGGTGATCCGTTCGTGATTCACAACCTTTTTAAAATTTAACGGATAATGAGATGGAAAACAGTTAAAAGAATGTCAAACGCAAAATTATTCACAAAGGAAAAAAAAATTTATATTTATAAATCATAATTTTAAACGAAGCACAAAATCAAACTTAAAGCATTGTGACACGCACAATGTATAACAATTTAATTAAACAGGAAGAAATCCCGGTCTTGACCAAAAAAAAACCTTTTATATTAATGATATTTTGAAAAAGTGATACAAAGGTACATAAATAAATAAATAAATAATTGATGACATTTTATTTTTCTAATTGGTAGAGTTACAATCAAGTAACTCATTTTGTGTATAATTATATATCTTTCTTCTTTCTCTTCCGTTATATTTCAGTCAATTATGTCATGATCCTTTTTTCAATTTCTTGACTCTCGAGATGAAACGTTGAAAGAATCTAAATATGATCCTTTGATGCTGTCAATTAATTATGGAGCAAGAAGCACATTGAAAAGCAATTTCCCCCGACGAAACGTCTGAATTTTGTTTACGTTGTACAGATCTTTAATCAAATTCATAAAATATTTTTCATGACCCAATAAAGTTTTGTCTCTAACCGAGCTTATTGTCAGATTTACAATAAAATCTAAATTAGACGATTTGTCTTTTTCTAGAGAATTTTCAGATAACCCTTTTTATTTTCGCTTGATCTACTTTGCAAACAAATTTTAATTGTACATGAAAGTAAAAATTCGTCGATGGATTACATGATATTCAGCATTTCCGTTTCACATATAACAACATGTCATACTTTTCCCAAACAAAATGAAAAACATCTTTTAACAAAAAAAATATATATATATTCGCCAAATAAGATAATTACATATAACATGCATATCTTGGGCTTGAATGTAACCATTTTTATATTTATTTTCCATTAATACTTTTCCTATGTCGATACTAGAAGGTCCAAGCAAATGTTACACTACATTTTTTTTAGTACAGTTAATTTTCTTTACATAGCATTGATCGAAATTAATAATTTCCGATTTTTCTTTTCATTTTTTTAGAACAAGTCTCTTACCTATTAATTTTTTTTTTTTTTTGTGGGGTAAAATAGACGATGATCAATCATTGATTAACACTAAATTGCACAAAAGTTGGTTTGACCCCTGAAAATTATTTAAGTTTCTTCTAAAATTAGATAATCCGTTCTTAACTAATCCATTTCTGGTTTAGATTTTTTTATTAAATGCATGCCCCTTTCTTTTTTCCCAAAATTTCAAATTAGGAAGGTACAATACAAATTGAAAAGTTTTTTTTTTTTTTTTTTTTCATTTTCGTGCCTTTTCTCCTATTTTATTATCATTGAGATTAACGCTTACCAACCAAATCTTATCAATTATTTTCCATTTCAAGTTTATTATTCTAAAAAGAAATAATATAAAATAATTTAACGTAATAATAGGGTTCGTGTCCCTAGGGTATGTCGGAGTTCACCATTGTGGTGCTCATTTCCGCCTTTTGAAATTACCCTATGAAAATAATTTTTATTTGGAATCAAACATTTTCTGATTTGTTTGAATTATTTATTTTTTTTTTCCCTTTTTTTCTTGATTTAAGGATATTTCAGTTAAACAAGATGATGACGTAACAAATGAATTGCGGTCATTTCATCGACCTTGCATCAACCCGATTTGCGCATTTAAGAAAGGACATTGCCGATGAACAAATATACCAAGAACCTTATCGTTATGAATTCAACAATTTCGATGAAACGACGACGTTTTTTACTCCATTTAGGACGAGCATTGTGTCATTATTATGTTTCTCAACGCAAAACACACTTTTTTTACCTTAGTTCCGCTAAACTTTTAAGAGAAAGAGAAACCACATTCGGATTAACGAAAAAGATTTTTTCGGGTTGGATGCACACAAAAAACAACCATTGGTAAAATTTTTTGTTTTGTTTGTTTTGGGAAATTAAAAATGTTATTTGCTACACGACATCCTCTCATAAGGCGCACAAAAAAGGATTACGGTAGCACGGAATATAATGTCATGAATCTATTGTCGAATAAAGTAAAGATAATCTTTAGCTGAATGTAAGCTGAATGCTATGTTATCAAGTTATCAAACGAGTTTTTTTTTTTTTTTTTCTAATACAGATAGATATTCAATCAAAACGATATTATGTTCAACTTGTTTAATTTCTCGCTTTAATAGAGATTGTTGTTTTCTATTATAATCAAGGATTCGTAATCAACAAATAATTTTCTGCTCAGGTATTGTGATTTGAAAATACTATCGATTTTTTTTTTCTTTTTCGCTTAAGAAAGTAAGAGGACAAAAAAAAAAAAAAATTGTGTACGAGTGCATCAAGTGCATACATGCTAAAAGGATTGTATGATGGAGGTAATTATTTGAAACGTGCATAATTTAGAATATTATTTAGGTTTATTCTCCAAATATCACATGAAATTAAATTGTAAAAAGATTACGTTTCCCCTCATGCATTCAAGATTAGAAACCTAACTATATATTAATACTAAAATGATTTCGTACGCATGCAGTCAGAATCAAAGTATTGGGTAGCCAAGAATTACGATCTCCCGTTAGTTGTCCTTCATAAAAGTCAAAAATGAAGCGAAAAAGTGCAGGAATGGCTGAACGAAAATATCATCGGATATATCTTTGTCCCACAGAAGATTTATCCGGTCTTCCTTGGTTGCTGCGCCATACTTTACATAATCTACGAATCATTTACTTCCCCCTTCGAAACCCTTCGCTATTTGAATTCCACGTATGGAATTCCTATGATATTCCACATCCGTTGAGTACCGTGAGATTTTTGTAAAAAAAAAAAAAAAAAAAAAAAAAATTTTTTTTTTTTTTTTTTTTGTAGCAATATTTATCTTTATTTTGCATCATTGTTGTTTATTCATTTGATTTATTGATTGTGTATAATTAATTAGATTTTTTTTTTTCTGACAACGATTGTAACAAATCTCTCCCTCGATTTAATCTAACCAAATATTTAAAAGTAGCCAAAAATGACGAAATATCATTAAAGGAAATCATTTTTAAGAAAAAAAAAAGGAGATTTGGATCTTAAAAAAATGGGGAGGCCTTTTCATAAAACCAAATCGAGTAAAAAATCCCTTCAAATAAAAAATGGGATTAAAATGAGATCCGCATTAATTTAGTTAATTAACTTTATTGGTATCAAAAAGAAAATTCAAATACAATATAATAGGGAGAATAAGGGCACGAATGAGAAAATCAAAAGTGCAGATGTATTGTGTAATACCTTTTCAATTGTCCTCTTTTTTGACTTTAATGTGCAGAGTGAATGCGTAATTAAAATAGATTTACTCGAACATTTCTTTATATAATCATAACGCGTTCATGTCAAACAAAATGTCATCGTATCAAACAAAAAGCAAATCTTTACATCACATGTATCAATAAGTCTGTGCTATCAAACAAATATCTTATCATTCGGCTTATCTAAAAACCTTTTTTTTTTCCTTCTCTTATCTGTAACATTTGATAAACGCAATGCATAATCATAATGCATTATACCAATGCAGGCCAAAAATAGATGAAAATTCAGCTTCAATATCAAGAGATTAGATGTATTTTATCTCGGTACCAAATTTTATTTATCGCATTGCGAAATAAGTCACTTGCTGACTTGTAGTCATCTGAGCGTATGTTATTCTGTGAGAAAGTTATATCATAAATTTGAAATTTGAATTAAGCGTGAGGTCTGTAATGCGTGAAATGTTTGGCTGTAAAATGTGGCATGGCTTTATTAACGCCAATTAACAACAGCTCGATTCAAAGTTCATGTTCATGTGGAAAAAGTGTGATCATTAATTAAAATGTGTCACGGAGAAAAACAAACAAATCATCCCAAAAAGTGATCACCCATTTAAATTAAAAATTGCTTCGCAAATGTCCGAAGTCATTTTATTTATTAAGGTTTTACCACTACGATAGCGGAAAACCTTTTTTTCGATTAAAAATGAAAATATACGCGCACATTCCTTAGCTGTTAATCTTTTAAACATGAGCGTACGGACATTAATGTATTTGAAAAAAAAAAAAATCAATGCAGGGATTATTTATTTGATTTGTCCTTAACGTAATAATATTTATCAAATATCTTGTTTGGTTTGTTTACGCATTGCAGCCTCTCAAATGTCTAATTCCGAATTTTTTTTTTTATTACTTTCATTAGTAGCTTTCTAGAATCTCTAATACTAATATCCCTAATACTTAACCTGATACGCGATTAAGCTTCTTATAATTATTCGATTTGATGAATTTCGCGATCGTTTAATTTGACCTATCTCTTACCTAGCATATATGAAGCATCATATTGCATATACAAACCGTTTAAATTGGAGAGAGAGTATACACCCTGTTTAATTTCTATCCTCTCAAGTGTTGCGTTATTGCAGGACACAAAAAAGGGACCAATTCGTCAAAAAAAAAAAAAAAATCGCGAGTGATTGATAACGCGCTTGCCTGATCAATGAAATTAATCTATTTTTTTTTTTTTTTTTGTAAAACAATGGATTTATTAAGGAAATTAAAAATCTATTCATTATACTATAAATGCTGTGAACTTTTCGTATTGTTTTTTTTTTTAAAAAAAATTATTTTCATGTACATTACATGCGATAATGCATAATATGTTCAAATCAGGAAAAATTTTCGCTTTAAACCTATAAAAAGATAAATATTATTAGCTTAACATTAACTTACTCGTACTGATTATTGTGCCGTGTCAAGGAAAGGAGTCAAAAGAATAAACGTCATTATCCGAGACTGTGGAAAGAGTAAATTATATAAAAATAAATATTTACTTGTATTAACCAATCAAATCGCGTTTTTGTGATGTAGAAAATAAAAGTTATATTAGATGCACAATCATACATTATCAAATGAAGGGAAAATCCCGAAGAAAGAAAAATAAATAAATAAATAAATAAATTACGCGACAAAATTTTCATAGATCAAAAGAAACATTCATGCAATTTAATGCATTTAAATTATGAACACTTCTATGTTTATTTTGATTTTGATTTTTTTTTTTTTTTTTTTGTTCGTTACTCATGTAATTTGATACATTTTGAAATATATATATATATATTTTCTTACGAAACTTTAATCTATTTTTAAAGCTATTTTTAATTCTTTTTTTTTTTAAAAAAAAAAAATTTCTTTCAAATTATTTTTAATTTTTTTTTAATTTGTCGCACAAAATTTTATAAAAGAAAAACAAAGAACAAACAATTACCATAGTTGCATGGAAGGTTTGATGTGAAGGAACTATTTTTGAGTCAAAAATAAATTATGTGTAATCTTTCTTGATATTAAGTAACTTTGGTTATGATATTCGGGGGTTGAATTTTTGATCGAAATTTTTATTTACAGTCTGATAAGGACAAATTAATATTTTCTGTGGATCAATATTTTAGGTTATATGAAGATCAAATTGAGACATTCATTGAAGCGCAATTCATTTTTAAAATTGGGTATCCCTTTCATGAACAATAGTTGTTTCCTCGTTTTTATGAGAAATTATTATCTAATATTTATGTTACACAATTATTTTCTGGCTGAAGAAATTTAAAATGATTTGAATGAATTATAATATAAAGAAAAAAATCTCAAAATTTAGTTCCAACAAACTCTGGTTGTTTGTACAAGTCAATTTGCAATTCCGAAGTATCATAATATTTGGTAAGTACAATCTACGAAACTTTAGTCCGACAATTTTAATCAAAATTATAATACGACATAAATGGTATAACACAGTCTTGTTTCTTTGTTCAACATAATCTGAAAATAATATTTTGTCCAACAATTTAAATGATTGACAAGGTACCTTTTTTTATTATCAAATGCTTATAATGATTATATAAAAATTGTTGGATGTATTATAATCAACTTAAAAACGCGTTCGATTAGCATTACTAAAGTTTACTTAGCATATAGGTAATTCTAATGAAGATTACTTAATTTACGCGTCTCGTCATTTATGTAAAAATCAATGAAATAAAAGAAATTTATCCATTTCAAGTTATAACCAGAAGTTGAATATTTTGTTACGCTTAATACCATTTTTTAGTTACAAATAAAATAAAAAAATTTACGGTGGATTTAAAATGTGTAAAACGATTAAGATTATCATGAATATTATAGCATATACCAACAAAAAAAGGTATCTCAGATGCATGAAGGAATTATGAATTTGGCAACGCATGTAGGATGTCAAAATAAACTTGATCCTTTGCGCAATTTTAATATGAAACATTGAATATTATGATTGATCAAGTTTTTGAGAATTAAAAATACAATAAATTATTTTATTGGTATAAACTTTAATTATTTGTTTATCTTTTACGTATATCGTAAGATCACGTTATAATAACAGATTATTATGTAACTGTATTTCAAATTATTGAATTGCAAATGAGATGCCATGGGATGCCTGCCCAAAAACGAATTCTATACATTCACCGCGCTTTTGCTAAATATGGAATTTAAATTTAAAATTTTTTTTTTTATTTTACGCCAAAATCTAAATATTTGGCTTTTCTCTTGGTGGAAAACCGATAATGCTTTTTGGTTAAAGATTAAGATTAATTTGATAATGACCTAAATTTTTTTGTTAGTTCGTGACTATTCTGTTTTTACTAGATCAAAAAATTTATTTACTTTGATTTTCTCATATATAATCTGGGCGCGATTTAGGCTCGATCGAAAAGTGGTTTTGCGAAATTAATCACGTGAAACTTTGAGAATAATGCAATTTATTGTGCGAAATATAGTCTTCATTTGGCATAGGTTAATTAATCATGAAAAAAAAAACTTTCGCTAAAAAACGAGGCTAGGTTATCTTAAGTTATGAGGTGATTTTAGTTGGTAAGCCTATCTATATAATTAAATATCGACAAAGATGATTTAGTTTCTGTTTGTAAAAAAAATCCAGATTAAGGCTGAAACAATTCAGGGGTTTTTCACATTGGGGTTTCTATTATTCAAATTACTATACAATTCATAATAAGATTATTCTTTCCATAATCAGGCGGAACCTTCCTTTGTCTTCTAGCACCTTTTTTCTTTCAATTGTCAATTTTGGCTGAATAGATAATAATTGAGCTTGCATTTCTCACTAATCCGTTTTTATTTTAGCCATATCCGTTTTTAAAATCGGAATTCTAACTGCATTCCATTGCATTTAGTACTTGTTTACTATATCGTTAATTTTAATTTTTCCTGATTGATCTTTTAATAGTTTCGTTTTCTTTATGACAATCCAAACTATAAACTGATAATTTCAACTATTATAATAATTGTACAAATTTAGAACTAAATTGGTCATTAATAAATAATAGCAAGAAGTAGTTCAAGTTTAATACAATCTTATATTTAGCTAACGCCACTCTATTTTTATTAAAAAAAAAATGTGGCTAATTAGAATTCCGAGCACTCCGAATTTAACTTCATTGACGGAACCTAAATGATAAATGGTGCATGCTGCGTCACCAAGATTTCAGGAGTCAAAATTGAAGTTCCCGAATATTTTTCAGGAACTGATCTTTTTTAAGTTGACAATTTCATTATGTTAATAAATAACTTTCTTTGTTCCATTGTTTCATAAAAGACATGAATATCATGAATCCAATCTACATGATCATTCAAATCAGCCTTCTATTGCCACTGATTATGATTAGTAATATGATCAAATGCAAAAACTTTCTTTTTCTTTATAAACTTAGAAAAATGTATAGTTTTTAAAATTTATACAGTATACTATATAAAAAGATATAATATTAAAAATATATTGATCAATTTTTTAGTAAAATTAATTTGAAGTACTTTCTTTACTAATTATTTTTCTTATTTTTAAATTAGCTATTTTTTTTTATGAAAATAATAAATATTAAAGAATTAATCTGAATGTAATCAATTATTAGTTTTTTAAAATTATATTATTTGCAAATTAATAATTAGAAATACTATTTTTTTTTTATTTTATAATAAAAAAACTACAAGAATATTTTTATTTAAAGAAAATAGCTTATTTAAAAAAAAAACTATAATTTATCATTATATTATTAAACTAATTAATAAAGGTTTTAATTAATCTAATTAATTTAAAAAAATTTTCATTAATCTAATTAGTTTTTAAAAATTATTTTTAAAAATCATTATTTTTTCTATATATTACCTTTATAATAATATTTAATTATTAAAAATAAGTTATTAATTTCTTCTTAAAAATTAAATTAATAAAATCTTATTTATTAAAACTTTTATTAATCTTAAATTTATATAATAATTTAAAGTATTTTAATATAATAGTAACTATTCTTATATATAATAATTAAAGTACGAATTATATAAACAAATATAAAAAATAAAAATAAAAAATAATAATTATATATATTTTTTTAACTTTTAATATTTATATTATATTTTAAATTATATATTTATATATATCATATAAAATATATAATTTTTTTTTTTTAATAATAATAATATTATTATTATTATAATTATTTATTATAATATATTTTTTAATAATGAAATAATTTAATTTCTTTTTTATTTATGATTATAAAATTTCAATTATTATAAATAGTAAAATTATTAGCTTATTTTGATTATTTAAATTTTCTAAATTAAAAATAGTGTTACAATCAGTTCTTTAAGATGCTTATGAATGATAAGTGAAGCAATATATATGAGTGATAAGCAGAAGATTTAATTTGATAATTTAGATTTAAAAAAGTGTTGATAAATTAACAGTTTATTTAATAACTATAACAATGAAGTACTGTCTCAGTCAGCACTCTATACTATACAATTATATTAGAGGGATTAAATTAAACTATTATATAAAGCTATGAGTCAGACACATCGCTAAACTAAAAGAAATTGTTCTCTATTTATATAAAATGAAAAATATAAAGTTACTGAAGATATAAAAGAAATAAATATAATAAATAAAATATATGAAATAAGTAAAATATAATAGATATATAAAATAAATAAAATAAATATATTGTATAAAAGAAATATATGTTATAGATGACATAGATGACATAAAAGACATATATGATTTCTTAGGGATCGACGTTATCCTTTAGATCGTCATCATTCATGTCTTCTTTCATATAACAATAAATTATAAAATTAAAATTAAATAAATATAGTATTTTAAATATATTATTTAAAACTTTTTAAAAAAGTTTATTATAAAATAATAATAATAAAATAAAAATTTAATACTAAGTTATATTATAAAAATATATAATGATAAGTAAATTTAAAAAAATATAAATATTTTCTTTTACTATTTATAATAACTTAAAATAAATAATATAAATAATATAAAAGATTAATCAAACTATAAAAGATAATTAATTTTTATAAGTTTTATTAAAAATATATATATTTTAAAAGATTTTAAAATTTCTTATATAATAATTTTAAATACTAAATATAAATAAAATTCTTATAAAACAATTTTAATTTTTACTAATATTATTAAATAAATTCATTCAAAATATAATAAAAACTAATATAAAAAAATAATAAAATAAAAATTTTATATAAAATATTAAATAAATTTATTATTATACTAATAATATATACTAAATTAAATTAAATTTAGTCTTAAATAAAAATAATAATAAATAATTTATATAATTTGTATTATTTATAAGTATTTTTTTATTTATTTAAAAGATTAATATTAAATTAAATTTATCATTAATTGATTAATATTAAATGTAATTTTTTTTATTTTAATCTAATATAATATATTATTAATATATTAAAATAATATATTATTTCTATTTTTACTAATAATAAAATAAAAATCTATAATAATTTTATATAATAAATTAATATATTTTGCAATAGCCTAAAATTTCTAAATATATTGTATAATACTTGTTATAATACATTATATACAAACTATGATAAGATATTTGTTATTAAATTTATAAAGTTATTTTTTTATTTAATTGTAATATTAATTTATTGATATATAGTAAAATTAATAATAAAATAAATTATACATTAAATAAAAAAAATAAATTATACATTTAATTTTAAATATAACTTGTATATATTAATTTTATTTACATATAAATTAAATTAATAGTATATTATATTTTTACATATATAATAAGTTTTAATTATATAAATTATATTACTAATATATATTACATTATAAAAAAATATCTTAAATTTTGTTAAAGTCATCAAAATAAAATTGATTAATAAAATAAAATTAATATAAAAAAAAATATAAACAAAATTAATAAGTTATATTATATAACTATATAAAAAACTCATTATATAAATATTTCAAATATTTGTCTTATGCTTATTTATACAATTTATTTTACATTTATATATAAAATGTATATGTAAATTTTGGTTAATGATATAAAAAGAATGAATATGAAACTATAAATTATTTTTTGATTCTTAAAGATTATAGATTCTATATTTAGTAAGATAATTTATTCAGCTGGTATTATAATACTAATCCAAAATAAAAATTACATATTTTTATAATCATTTGCTTTGTGTATAAAAATACTTTTATAAGAGCATATTCATGATTTTCTGTTTATTATCATCTTTTATATTATATAAATACTAATATTAATATTATTTTCTTATATAATTGTATATAAGATTACATCATAATATTTCAAAGTTTTGAATCTAATTGTTATTTCTTTATTAAGATAGTAATGATAGATTTCATAAAGATTTTTTTGTATTTCATTTCATTGTTAACTTTTTTTACAAATTCTTTCTTATTACTTATATATATAAATGTTAAAAAAGTATTTTCAAGATGATTCAATTACTAAATTATAAAAAAATTAATATTAAATAAGAATTAAAATAATTTTATTAATATTAACCATTTTTCTATTCTTATTTAATTATGTTGTATTCTTCTAATCTTACTATATGATAAGCTAGAATAAATATATATTATCTTTTAATATGTATATTAGTTGTTATCTTTTAAAATTGTTCTTATACAATTATTACTATCTTCAGAAATTCTAGCATTATAACTATTATCTAGTATATACAAAATACTTACAATTAGAGTTCTGAATAAATTGAGTCAAGTTGAGTTTAAAGATCAACTCTATTTGACTCTCTTTTTTCGAGTTGAGTTGAGGCAAATTTATTTTATAAAATCTTTCAATTTGATTTGATTCGAGTTATATAAATTTTAAACTCGACTCAATTTGACTCAACTCGATTTTAACTTAATTTAATTTTGAAAAAAAATAATAAAAAAAATGAAAAAATCAGAAGGAGGGGGAAAAGAGTAAATGATTCATTATCATTCTTCTTAAACAATAAAAAAAATTGTTTAAGTTGAATGATTTATTATCGTTCTTCTTGAACGATAAAAAAAATTGTTCAAGTTGAATGATTCATCATCATTCTTCTTGAACGATAAAAAAAATTGTTCAAGTCGAACGATTCATCATCGTTCTTCTTGAATAATAAAAAAATCATTCAAGTTGAACGATTCATTATTATTCTTCTTGAACAATTCATTATCGTTCTTCTTGAACAATAAAAAATATTGTTTAAGTTGAATGATTCATCATTGTTCTTCTTGAATGATAAAAAAATATTGTTCAAGTTGAACGATTCATCATTGTTCTTCTTGAATAATAAAAAATATCATTCAAGTCAAATGATTCGTCATCATTCTTCTTGAGCAATAAAAAAAATTGTTCAAGTCACCTTGAGTCAACTCAAATCAAGTTGAGTTTAAATCAAGTCGAGTTAAATATTTAACTCAACTTGAATTTGACTTGACTCACAAATTATTGAATTAAAAAAACATAAACTTGACTCAATTTAAACTCGACTCAGCTTATCTGACTTGTGAGTTAACTCAACTCGTCCAGAACTCTACTTACAATATATATTTTACTTAATAAGATTAAATTCTATATTTTTTTTATTAGTATATAAAATTATCCTTTTATATATGCTATACATCATCTCTTTAAGTAAAACAAAAATATTCTATAATATTCTATGAGTTAATATAATCAATGATAAATATCTTAAAATATAAATATTTAGTAAATTTATTATTATATTCAGATAGATTTAAAATTAAATTAAAAATACTTATATATTAATTATTAAAAAATAAAATAACAATATTTAAATATCTTATTCAAAGTCCTGGTTAATTTATTACTAATTTATTTAACACTGATAATTTGATTTGCAAAATTATTGAAGAATACCTTTATATATAATCTAGTAAATAAACTTTAAGTTTTAATTATTATAATTTTTATTTGTCTTAAATTTATTAATTTGAAATTATTTTTAAATTATAGTAAACATAGTTTTAATTATACAATATTTAAGCATTATTATAAAATAAAAGGCATGATTATGATTAATCTTAACAAATTATTCATCTAATAAAAAATTAAGATAAGTAATCAGACTTTAAATATAATTTTAATTTTTTGGTATTTCAAAAGTTAACCATGTATTATATAAAGTATCCAATCTGAATCTCTTTAATTTATGATTAAATAATTAATTAAATAATCTATATGTTAATTCTACTAAATAATAAAATAGATTTTATGGTATTTATAAGTAATGATTATATATTAAATTATCTAATATATTTAAATTCAGATATAATCTATTCTTGTGTAATATTTTTTTTTGTTGTATTATTCTTAGCAATTTTAAGCTTATCAAAAAATTCTACTTATTAAGCAATAGTTTAAAATATATCAAAATTTGCATTTAATAATTAATTTTATAAAATTTTATAAATATAATATTTGTATTTGGTATTATACTTTTTGATTTCAATTATATTATTACCTTAAGAAAAATCACTATACTTATTCAAAATTTTATGTTATTCAAACTTATTTATTTTTTATTTTATATAAATTCTATTTTATAACTCTTTCATATTTAAGATAAATTCTTTAATATTATCTTCAAATTTTCACTTAATAAAATAAATCTGATAAGAAAGTGATTTCTAAATTTTTTTTACAATACTCTATTTATATTAATATTAATTTGTATATATATTCCTCTAAATTTATAATATACTTTATTAAAAACACCAAAATAATCAAAATACAAGTTTATAAAAAACTTGTAAAATTTTTTATTTTGACCTAAAAGTAATTAAAGAACGCTCATTTACTCTATAAGTAATTTATATTGCAAAGAAACATAACAAACTTTATAATGATTATTAAAAGTATAAATAATCTCTTGAATTAAAAACTCAATGTTAGTGGGCATAGAGTATTATTATCTTTGATTTATATATTAATATAATAAATCATATCTTAAATTTTAATTGTATTTTGTATTTCTTTTAATTATAACTTATTATATAATCATAATCTTTGATATTTTTTTTTACTTTTCAATTACTGGGTAATTTATAAAAAGTTATAGATTATATACAAAAAAATTGATCAGATAAGATTTATCTATTATCACTATACTAATAATTCTACCACAAAATTTAATGTATATTGATCATAAAATTTTTTATATTTTATTTATTTTTTGACCTTAAATGTAACTTTATTTGTAATAAATATTTTTAATATTTTAATATATATAAGATTAAAATAGATTATTCTTCTTTTACTATCATTTATAATAATTGATATTTTACTAAATAACAGAAATTCTTTTTATAAATTCTCATACTATATTTTAGTTTTTTTTTTTATTTTAATACTAAACTCAAAATACTTTTAATATCAATTGTTAAATTATTAATTATTTAATAAATATAATTTTTAATTGAAGAATTATATGTTTTTTTTAATAGTAAGATTTTTAAAAAAGTATTTTTTAAATTAATCAGAATAAATATTTCTGTAAATAGTAATAAAAGTAATACTTTATAGATTTTCTTAGGTATTATAATATTATAAAAAACTTGATTAGCTTTAAATTTTAGATAACATATAATTTTGATTAACTCATATTAAGCATATATACCTATAATATCAATATAATAAATTTATTATAAACTTATAATTGTAAAATAATAATTTAAATAAATAATCTAATACATTATCTATACTATTTTTTTGTAAACTATATGAATATTCATATAGCTGTAAGATTCAGAAAATAAAAACTGCTATTACTTGTAATATAAAATTAACGTTATAATACTTTTACTATTAAGTATAATTTGTATAAAGTTAACTTTGTCTGTATTATTAACATTACTATTAGATGAATTTAATGCTCTGAATAGTTCAGTTCAGTCTGGATTATAGGTCAATCCGAAACTGATCTGAAAATTTTAGTTCAGTTCAGTTCAGATTATAAATCCTAAAAATGCCAATCTGAAACCGAACCGAACCATAAATCGGTAAAAATCTGAACTGAACCAAAAATTTCGAATTAATCTAAAATTTCAGATCATTTGAAACGATCCTTTTATCATTTTTTTGGAACGATAACTTCAATCGTTTCAAATGAACGATTTTTTTATCATTTGATTAAAACGATAATTTAATTGTTCCAATCGAACGATTTTTTATTGTTCGTTTGAAACGATAACTTCAATCGTTCCAAATGAACGATTTTTTTATCATTCTTTTAGAACGATAATTTGATTGTTCCAATCAAACAATTTTCTTATTGTTCATTTGGAATGATAACTTCAATCATTCCAAACGAATGATAACTTCAATCGTTCCAAACGAACGATAACTTCAATCGTTTCAAACGAACGATAATTTCAATCGTTCCAAACGAATGATAACTTCAATCGTTCTAAACGAACAATTCTTTTATCATTCTTTTGAAACGATAATTTGATCATTCCAATCGAACGATTTTCTTATCGTTCGTTTGAAATGATAACTTCAATCGTTCCAAATGAACGATTCTTTTATCGTTTATTTGGAACGATAATTTGATTATTCCAATCGAACGATTTTCTTATCGTTCATTTGGAACAATAACTTCAATCGTTCCAAATGAATGATCCTTTTATCATTCGTTTAAAACGATAATTTCATCATTCCAAACGATCTGAAATTTCGGATTAATCCGAAATTTTCAGTTCAAAATTTTTGCAATCCGAAACTGAACTGAAGTTGATCTGAACCAAAAATTTTCGGATTAATTCGAACCGTTCAGAGCTTTATTAAAAGTATTTCTTTATTAGAATTATCGTCATCACTCCAATTAATTTCATTATCTTCATTTTGCATTAAATTAATTATTTAATCATCATTCAAATTTTCTTCAGTTGAAATATCTTCATTAATAATTTGAAAATATTCTCTTATTTCATCAGCTTCTTCCAAATAATCAAAAAAATCATTATCATCATTTAATTCAATATCTTTTTCTATAGACTTTCACTAAAAGTTTCTAAACATCATTTTTTAGGTGCGATTTCATACAGATAATATTATGTAACTTTATAATACTGCAGTTATATAATATTTCAGACTTTGTTTACATAAATCAAACCTAATAAATGCGCGTTTAGTTTGTTTATTTTAACTTTAAATCAAAATAAACTTTAATCTTCTGAAAATAACGAAAATGACTCAAATAACGTGATACTATATTTTTTTGCTATCAATATAGTGATAGTTACTGAACTATTTCTAAGACCGTCAGTTGTGAAGTGTTAACAGTATTTGATACTTTAAAAAAGGATAGATTATACCAGAATCACTAATTTGAAGCCTTGTTTCAGTCAACCACCTCTTATTAAACCTTCATAACGAAATTAACTTAAGCGACTTATAACCAATAATAAAGGAAAAAATCATTGCTCATGTACTGCAAAAGTTTAACAACTTTGGAAAAAAAAAACCGGCCAAGATGTTTCAGCTCGCACTATTGGCTGGACACTTTGTGCAGTTAGGCTAAACAATTGTATTACTTGACGAAAACCTTTAATCTCACTAGCAAATATGAAGGTACGTCTTGCATAGTGTTTAGATCACTAAAGCTGGACAAAGGATGATTGATCAAAAGTCATGTAGAATGACGAATTGACCTTTTCTCAATTCTAACAAAGTCGATGTAGTTAAGTATGGCGAGAACCTTAGGAAAAGTGAAATATTTCTTGTATTTCTACTACAGTGAAACACAGCCCTGGCTGAATGTTTTAGGGATGCTTTTCAAGATAAGGCTTGGGACCTATT